TTACTTCGAATTATTAGCAAAATTAGATTAGTAAAAAGTTATTACACTTGTACATTCACTTTGAAAATTTAATAGAATTTTTATTTGTAGTAAATTTTTTGAAATTTAATTTAATTAACATTCAATTTATTATGAATTATAATTATAATAAATTAATTACAATATATTATAATTTTAATTAAGTTGAATTTAATTTCTCAACTATTTTAACAAAAATTAGTCAAATTTTTAACTCAAACAGATAAATGATAAAGCCGACCTAGTATTTTAAGTTTATTATTTTTTTTCATATCGTAATTACTAGATTTAGGAGTACTTTGTACAAAAGGGCTTGTCCCGTGATTTTCTAAATAAATAAATAAATTATTAGTAAATTAGCTAAATTAATTATATAAGTAAAATTCACTTTTGGAAATTTAGTAAAATTTGTCAAAAATTTCAAGACATTAATTTATTTTAATAATCACCAAAAATAGTAAAAGTTCATTTTTTTTGCAATTTTCCTTTTTCGTTTCGAAATCATGAAAACTTAAATCTAGAGTTGTGCAAAAAGCTCGATCGAGTATTTTCAAGCTTTTCGTTTTTCTAGCAGGGCTGAGCAGAATCAATCCGAACTTGAACCAAATTCCATTCGACACGTGCAGTATTAAACCTAAAATAATTTTGAGCACTTGAATTTTTCGAGCACTCAAATATTTTTGAGTAACTAAAACTCGAGCCCGGTTCGAGCTTTTTGCACACCTCTACTTAAATCAAACATTTTTTTTCTTTTCATAAATAAATAAATATTTCCTGCTCGAAATTTTTTTTCCGAATAAAAGTTTTTTTATGATAATAATAAAAAATGGTAATAAAAAATTTTTTTAGAGTCAGAAAATTAAATTAAATTAGAAAAAATTTTCCCCTAACATTGTAAAATATACAAAATTCATAAGACAAAAAAATGTTCTCCACCTTTTTCTTCTCTCAGAAATGAAAATCGCACGCAGTTAAAATGTGAAATTTTTCGAATCTCTTGAAATTGCTATATATAGATATTAAAAACAGGGTTCCCTTCAGTCTCCAGAGTCAAGTTTACTTGCGCGATTCGCGTCATATGGAACAACCTCGTGTCTATGGCACTGCCTCCCCCCTTTTTTCCTCTCTCACTCTCTCTATTTCTGTCCCTTTCTCGTTTTATCATACACGATATTAGGCCTGGGCGTGGTTTTTGCCGAAACATTTCTCGTTACTGAATAATAGACGGTTGTGTGTTCCCGTTGATAGAAATTGATTGTGTGTGTATATATATATTTTAAGAGTAAAAGGGAATGGAGTAAAAGAGACATACCGAGAGATAGTTGAGAGTTAGGCATCGCACATATTAAAGTCATTGTTGGTTGGCGAGGGTGAGAAAGGGGAGAATTTCGGGTAATCGAGTGGGGAGGGAGAGATAGAGACAGAGATGAGGAGAAAAATAGAGACAAAAACAAAAGAAAAAATAAAGATAGAGATAGAACACAAAAATAAAGATATAAATAGAGGGAAAAATAGAAACAGAAACAGAAGGAAAAATAGAGACAGAAGAAGAAAAAAGAGAGAAAAAGCGTGAGAGAGGGAGAGGGAATGAGACGAGAGACCTCCTTTCACTTTCAACGTGCACTCTGCGCTCTGTTCCAACTCGACGACGAATAACTTTGGCGAGATTCATTCGAAAATGGACAAACACTACTAAATATTTTCGTGCAGTCCCTTCTCGATAAACTATTATTCAATCCGAGAGAAATGATTATTTCCTTCATTTTTTTTGTCCCAAATAAATCTAAATTAACAAATTTAGAATATAATAAACGAAAAAGCGAACAAAAGGAAAAAAATAGAATGAAACAAGAGATAAAAAATTGCGAAAGAGAGAAAGAAAATACGACAAGTAGAGAAGAAATAAATACTTGAGAAAAGTTTTGAAACTTTCGCAGAAAAAAAATTTTCATTTTATAAACCTGAATGAGTCGTAAAAAATTGTCTATTTAGAAAAAATACTTTTTTTCGAAAGGAGAAATACTTTTATTCAAGGAAAAAAATACTCGACAGAAAAAATAGTTTTATTCGAATAGAAAATATTCAAGAATAAAAATTATCGAAAACATACTCGAGGGAAAAAATATTCAAAAGGAAAAATATTTAAAAGAAAAAATGTTTGAAAGGAAAAATATAACTATATCAGGGTGGTCACAAGTTTCAGTTTATCAATTTCCCTGATAATTTACTGACATAAAAATTACTTTTCCTGACAAAATTCTTTTTATATGAAAATATGAAAAAGTCTCAATTTTCTTTATTTCCCTGTCAAAAAATTGTTTCCTGACATTTCCCTGACTTTACTGACATGTGGCCACCCTGTATATTCGACAAAATCAAAAGAAAACATATTCTTATTCCAAAAAAATACTCTAAAGAAAAAATATTCCAAAGGAAAAATATTCGAAAGAAACAATTTTAGAAAGGAAAAAAATTCGAAAAAAATACTCGAAAGTGAAAATATTCAAATAGATAAATATTCGAAAAAAATACTCGGACGAAAAAGTATTCGAAATGAAAAATATTCAAAAGAATACTCGAAAGAAAAAATATTCGTAAGGAAAAATATTGAAAAAAATACTCGAAAGAAAGGAAAAATTATTCTAAAGGAAGATTCGATAAAAAATTCGAAAGGAAAAATAGCTTTATTCGAAAATTCTTTTTTCTCAAAAAAGAAGTAGAGATAAAATTAAAATGTCAAGTAAAGAGTTAGAGATGAAAGAAAAATGAAAAGTTGACAGATTTGTCTCCATTTGAAAAATTAAAGAATTGAAAGAACATTTTTGGAGAATAAAATTAATCGCCAGCACAAAAAACCCAATTCGGGGCTGAATTAGAGAAATTTTCCAATTAACTCGACGGGGGGATTTATATTATATTATATTTTATTATATTTTAAATGAATTTTTCCTGATTAAGAAAGAGAGGGCAATTATTTAGTGAAAAAGGACAATCACACACACAGTGGTGCTTGCTCTTTGAAAAGAGCTCATATTGCGCTAATATGCAGCATCCACACTCAGTGCTCCCTCAATATTCCAATGGACTCTTGCAACTATAAAGGAGAGATATAATACTGGCACAGTAGGGGATTCACGATTCAACATGGGTGATAAAACTAGAACCATGATTCAAGCGAGAGCGGCCTTTGTTCTACTTTGGTGCAATTAGCCCCGACTTCCGCTTTCATCGGTAGCGGCCTTTAGAAACTTCACTTCGTCAAGGTTGCTAAAGGCGTTAGCGACTTTGCGCCTCTATATATATATATATCTATATATATCTATATATCTATATATATATGGAAAACATTTTTTAGTAAATGCGACAATAAAATATTTTGTTTGTCGCAATTACTGCAAAATATTTTTCAGTAAAAGCAACAAAAAAATATTTTTTTCCGCATTTACTAGAAAATATTTTTACTAAAACCTCAACAAAATATTTTTTGCCGCATTTACTTGAAAATGTTTTATAGTAATAGCGACAACAAAATATTTTTTTGTCGCAATTACTACAAAATATTTTTCAGTAAAAGCAAAAAAAGAAAATATTTTTTTGAATTTAAATTAAATAATTTAAATATAAATCAAATAAATTTGTTAATTGAATAAATTTATTCATTAGTAAAATTTATTTCCTAAATAAATTCATTAATAAATAAATATACTGGTTTAACATCATTTTTTTAAGTAAATTTATTTTATTACCAAATTTTATTTATTGAATATTTTTAATATATTTATTTTATTACCAAAAAATTTATTAATTGCAGGCCTCGGATCGACTTTAAGATACAAAAAAATTTCCAAACAATTGGATTTTTGTAAAATCTTTTAAAAATAATTGAAATTTGATAAAATCTTTTTAAAACAATTGAATTTTGGTAAAATCGTTTAATAATAATTGAAATTTGACAAAATCTTGTAAAAATAATTGGATTTTTGAAGAATTTTAATTATAAATATATAAACATGAGTTTTTTTTATATAATTTAAAAAAAACTAAGTAATTTTTTGAAGAATTTTAATTGAAAATTTTCACAATGATTGTTTTCTCCAAAATGTTAAAAATAATTCTGAAAAATTTTAATGTTTGCATTATTTTTTGTACCTATGTATTTGAATTTTCGGAATTATATTCTTGAAAATATTGAAAATAATTGAATTTTAAAAATTTATAATGATAAAAATTCTAAGAATTACTTTTTTTTTAAAAATTTAATATTATTTTTTAGAAGCTAGTTTTTATTAATTTTCATTTTCATAAATTTACACTTGAAGATTTTTCATTAAATTGTTTTGAGAATTCAATTTATTTTCACAAAATTTGCAATTAAATTTTTTCAAAAGTTGATTTTCAAAAATTGTAATAATAATACTTGAAAAAGAAATCAATTATTTTCAAATTAAATTTTACAAAATTTCAATTATTCCAAATCTTTTTTATTCAAAAATAATTTTTGGAAGATTTGTCTAGAGTTATTTTTCACACTAGAAAAATCGAAATAATTTGCAATTTATACTGAAAAAAATGTGGTATTTTGTTGCAATATTTAGAAAAAAAGTCGCATTTTTGGAAAATAGTTGAAAAAAGTCGAAAAAGTCATAATATCCGAGGCCTGTAATTGAATAAATTTATTCATTACTAAATTGATTTACTAGATAAATTTATTTATCAAATAAATTTATTCATTACTAAAATTTATTTATCAAATAAATCTATTTTCAAATTTTAATTTCGTTGTATTTAAATTCCAATCAATTGGATTAATTCCACGAAAAATGACAGTAAAAAAACATCTTTTTGTCAGATTAAAAAAAATACCGTACAAATCCTATTTTTACATATTTTACCCGCTAGAAAAAAATCTACTTTGATAAAGTAATTTTTTGATATATAAAAAGAAGAATCTTTAATAACGAAATATATTTTTCTGGTTTCAGCTGTGAGAGCGGACAGAATGCGAGGCGGTAGAAATAAATTTGGGCCAATGTACAAGAGAGATCGAGCGCGAAAATTGCAAATGATGCGACAAAGGCAATTGGCATTGCAAACAATTCGCGGTAGTCTTGGTGATCCATCGAATTATCCATCGGCAGTGACGCCGTTTTTGCACATTAAACAAGAAATTCAGATACCTCAGGTCTCGAGTTTGACGTCGTCGCCAGATTCGAGTCCATCGCCCGCTGCAGTGGCCGCTGGTTTGGTTACGACGCAAGCGGGCAGCGGTGGCGGGAGTGGCGGCGGTGCCGGTCAACATCAATTAATAGCGCCATCGTCACAGCCAAATATTTCAGCGGGCAATCATTTACATAATCCGAATCCAAGTCTCGAGAGTAAATTATGGGCGGCAAATTCCACGACACCAAGCCCGAAGGCCTTTAATTTTGGTGAACAATCGCAACAACCCCACGGTACCAATGCAACAAATAATACAGCCACGTCGACACCATCAGCAGTGGCACAACTCAAAACTAGTCCGATGATCAGAGACTTTGTGCAATCGGTTGACGATCGCGAGTGGCAAACATCATTGTTCGGGTTGCTGCAAAATCAAACGTACAATCAGTGTGAAGTGGACTTATTTGAACTTATGTGTAAAGTGCTCGACCAGAATCTCTTCTCGCAAGTCGACTGGGCGAGGAATTCGGTTTTCTTCAAAGATCTCAAGGTTCGTTATTATTGTCAACTTTTTTCCTCCTCTTTTTTCTTTTTTCTCCAAGAAACAATATTCCGGCTTCTCTTCTGCAAAATTTCATAACTATTAGTCAAATTATCTATTAAAGAAAATAAACAAAAAAATTTATGGATTAAAAGTTCCGAATGTTTTAATGAACGAAAATTTGACGATTGTCTACCAAAATTTGTATTTAGAGAAATTTTTCTCTCGAAGGAAAAAATATTATCTAAATGAGAAAAAATTCTCTTTAGATTCTTTTTCAATTCGAATAAACTTTTTCAGTTCAATTCAATTTCTCTTTTTTCTCATTCGAATTTTGTTGTAAAATTGTAATTTTACAACAAAATTCGAATGTACAAAAAGGAGGAATTGACAATTGTAATTTTACAACAAAATTGGAATGAGAAAAAGAGAATTTGAAAATTGTAATTTTACAACAAAATTCGAAGGCAAAAGATTGAAAAATGAAAATAGAAATAGAAAAATAGAATACAAAAGTAAATTGAATCGAAATAATGCTAAATGTTGCAATATTTAAAATATTTTATTTTTTCCCCTGTATTTTCAAATGCTGGGCAAATTTTTTTTTTTCAACAAGAAACTTCACTTTATGAGAAATGTTGAAATGCAAAATAAAATTTTCAATTTAAAATATATGAAGTGCATATATTTTTGTATATATACGTACAGCGAAAAATATATTCTTTTTGAGGAATAATCGAATTTTCTTGTGGTGAAAATATTTTTTTTTTTTTGCACAATATTGTAAAATCATTTCTATTGAATATTTTATAGGAATGTAAAATATGAAAAAAGTGAAGGGATATTGAAGAAGTCCATATACACAAGCAACTCGGAAAATAAATATTCTTTCAATATTGTATAAACATTCGAAATTCCTGCAATTTTTTTTTTTGATATTTTCAAAATAATAATAATAATAATAATAATAATAATAATAATGATAATATTTTTAATACTCGAACAAAAAAATACGTTAATTTTTGTATAAAAAAGAATAGTACAAAAATTATTGTAATATTTAATTTAATAGGTACTTAAACTAATACTTAATTTATTACTTAATTTAATATTTAATTAAAATCGTGTTTAGGTAATATTTATTATAATATTTAATTTAATATTTAATTCAAAATCGAATTAATATAGTTTTACTATTTCGAGATTCAAATTCAAAGAAAAATTTTACAAAACAAAATTAAATTTTTTTAGGGCAAAAATATTTTTTTTTTTGCATGAAGTAAATAATAAATCAAATAATGCAATTTACACAAAAAAAAAAATGCGAATTTTCCAAATGAGAAAAAAGATAGAATATGTAATAAAAAATCTCAAAATTGTAAAATTATAATTTTACAATTTTGAGATTCAAATATTTAAAAATTGATTAGGTATACACCATAAAATTTTTTTTAAAACTGTTTTTTAACTAATTTTTATCTTTAACTACGAAATTTTTGTATGCCACAAATATTTTTTTGTTTGTGTTAAATAACAAATTAAACACTGAAATTTTCAAAAACTTGAAACTGGACGAGAAAAAAATTTCCAAATTTCTTTTGGAAGAAAATCAAATTAAAATTTAGTTCATTTCAAATGTTCAAGAACTTATAACTAAATGCATCATAAATGGGACTAAATATTTATTAATTTATAAATTTTTCTGAATTCAAATTTCTTGAATTGAAGAAAAAGCGAAATATTTACTTATTTGAAAAAGATGTAAGTTTCGAGTTAATTGAATAATTAATTCAATTTAATTATTTTACATTTTATTAAGTAATTAATCGGAAAAAAGGGGAAAAAATATATTTGGAAACATTAAAATTAAATATAAAAAATTTGAATTTTCTTCGATAGTATTTTTTTCAAGAGAATTTTTTTTTCGAAAGCAAATGAAAAACATGCGATCGAAATTATTCAAAAATTTTATTATTTTTTTCTGAAAAAAAATGAAAAACACGATCGGAATTAAGGCAACTAATTTAATTACTTTTCGAAAGTATTTTTCCGAAAGCAAATAAAGAACATGATCGAAATTATTGAAAATAATTTAATTAATTTTTGAACGTACTTTTTTTTACCTCAATCGAATGAAAATCACGATCGAAATTATTGATAAAATTTAACTGATGAATTATTCCGAAAATCGAAATAAAATAATAAAGCCAAGCATTTTAATGGCGTCCCATGCGGATATGACTCGGTTTTATCTGCGGTTTTTATTATGAAATACGTTCGCGACGTATAGAAGGAAAAAAATATATATATTGATATAATAGACGCGGAAAGTATTTGGATCATGTTTTGCGAGTAAGTCAACGTTCCTGAGGAAAATTTTCCCTTTCCTTTTTCATGAATGCTTCAATATTAAACGCACGCCTAAGTAGCTATTGAACTTATAATTTTGCTATATATATTGTTCTCGTCGAGAAAATTCATAAGAATTAATATTATATATTTACTGTCCTTTTTCTGCGCACATTTATTTATATATTATAAATAAATGCGGAGAAAAAGGAAAAAAAAATTTTTTTAAACATTTAGTAAAGAAAAATTGAAGCAAAAATATTTAATAACAGGTTCCCTTGAAACAAAAACTTCACTAAAAAATGTTTTTTTCCCATAGAGTTATTATCCCCTGGTAATAAATAATATCCAAATAACTATAAATAAATATTTTTTTTGTTTTTAAATTAAATTAATTCGTAAAATTTAATTTTTTAATTTAAAAATATCTAATTAAAAAATATTAAGATCATATACTTTTTTTTAAAAGTAAAATTCAATTTTCCTCTTCTCGTTAATATAAATTAATGGGCAATTTAGAAATTCAGAAAATTATCGAGAAAAAAAATTCATTCAAGCAATATTTGCCTTGTATTATTGATTTGCATATTTCCATAATATTTGTTTTTCAATTTTTTTTCAAGAAGCCGGGAATATCACTCGAAACGTATAATTTACATAAAGTTTAAGTTTTTTTTTTAAATTTCTTTTTTAACTGAAAATAATTTCCCATTAGTGTATAATGTTCCTAAAAGTTTTGAACGTTCAAATGAACGACGATATTTATTTTTACTTCTTTTAATTTGTCTTTTTTTACAACAAAGTTTGTTACAAAAATTTTAAATAATTACAAATTTGTTTTTAAAAAAATGACCAATAATAATTATTAGTAATTAAAAAATTAATTCTCAATTAAGTAAATATTCAATTTTAATTATTTCCTTTTTTTCTGGTAATATTTTCCAAAGATATTTAAAAATTTCATGGGAAGTGAAATTATGGAAGGATTTAACTCTACTCAATTATTTAGAAATTTCGTTCATTTAAACTTTAAAAGTTTGTAAAAATTTGCTATAATTATTCGGAACTAAATTGAATTAAAAATGTAAAATTAATTAAAATTGTATAAAAAATTACCATTGATTTTAAGAACCAATTCGAATTATTGTAGCTATTTTTTTTATTTTTAATTATTTTTTTCTTTCGATGTTTTTATTTAAATTATTTAATTAAATATTTAAAAAAATATTAATGTACCTATAAATTATATTAAATTAATTTAATTTTTTTTTATTTTATTTCATTAAAGATTTTAACTCAATTTGATGAAGTAAAAAATTCATTTAATTATATTCTAAATAATTATTCATTGTTTTTTTTCAACAAAATTGGAAATACGAGCTAAATAAGACAATAGAATAAAGTTTGGCATTGCGCTATAAATAGGTATAGATTATCTCGCACTATAAATAAATGTTGCCGACTTCTTTGACAAAGATAGGCCTCTGTGGAAATTATTACGGCATCCCACATTAATGGGAAATTATTGCAGTTTTAAATTTAAAAGTATAATTTATTTTTTTTCATAGAAACATCATTATAATCTAGACTATTAAGAAAAAAAAATTGAACTATTTTTATTTTTTTTTCCAATCTTATAGTGTTAACTGATTGTGAGAAATCTCTCCTACACAATTCATCTTCATTATACAAGTTCTTGAAATCATTTTTTTTTCGAAGAGAGAAAATCCTTCAAAATAATATTGAGATCGAAAAACAAGAATATATCTCATTTGAATTCTTAATTTGTATCCTTCAATTAAAAAAAACAATTTTGTATTTTTCAATTCTTTTGACATGAGAAAAAAATTCAAAAGTTTCTTTTTTCAATCTTTGGATTGAAAAATCACTCGGAATTCAGATAACCTCATTTTTTCCCCCTTTAAATGTGAAAGTAATTTTTCATTATAATCAATTTCTTTAAGTTTCATTTCTGCCAATCAAGGCAATAAATTCTTTTCGAAAGATATATAGAAAACGAATAATCCGAGAGCTGAAAAAATTTGAAATCATTCAGGGAATTTTGTTTTTTTTTAGTGAATATTAGTAATATTAGTGTAAGTAGAGTATTGATTAATAAGAAAAGATGTAAGAATAAAATATAAATATACGAAGGAGATAATGGATGAAAATTTGTAATTTAGCAGATGAATTAAAATTTAATCCTTAACGATAAGTTACTCGTTGTTGGGCTGTTAATGTTGTGTACGTGTGTATATATGTGGCGGGGATGTGAGGTAACCGTAACCGGCAGCATTGCACAATCCCTGAATGATTTCAAGCATCGCCTCATATCTAGGTCATAACAAGATACGTTTCTAGGTTATGGCACTTACCTCAAAGCGGGTTCACAATAATTCTTAACTACAATTATCCATGTATACTTTCAATAATGATCTAACATTATAATGGATTTAATTCCTCTCTTGATACTCGGACAACATTTTTTTTAAAATCATTCTCCTCTCTCCCTCTGCGTGTGTCCTCTCTTTCACTGTTGTTCACTGTCATCACGTGAACCGGTTTTTTTTCATTACAATTTCCATAAGTTACGCTCGATGGTAAATAACAAGAAATTGTGCTGTTACTGAATTTTTTTTGCTTCTTCATTTTAAATCTTTAAATATATTAATATACACGATACAAACGAAAGTAAAAGTCTGGTAGAAAGACTTTTCCAATCAACCGGCCTTTCAGGGACGTATGAGTAATGATGATTTCAAAGGCGTTTTGCTAATTAAATTACTCGCTTTCACGTAACTTCGAGCAAGCATTCGTTTTCGCTGCATTCTTATCATTTTTTTTTAATCGAGAACGCAATTTTTTGTTAATTAAAAGTCTTTTTTTTTGTATAACAAACGGACGCCATTATGAACTTTCAAATTAAGAATTAAACCAATTGGGTTGCAGCAAAGACCAAAGAGCTGCAGATGGCGCCAGTTTGTTGAAAATTTCAGGGGTGGTAATGTTCTAAAGGGAAATTACTCGTGTGGCGGGAAATTTTTAAAATTACTAAACCGATTACGATTTTTAGTTATCTTTAAATACTTTTAACCGTAAGAGGGGATATTTTTTTCAACTAGTAAAAAAAAACTAGTGAAAACTAGTAAAAAGTCTAGTAACAATAGTAAAAAGTCTAGTAATGATAGTAATTAGTAAGTAATTTACTCACGTATTGACGGAAATCTATTCTTTTACAGGTTGACGACCAAATGAAACTTCTCCAACACTCCTGGTCTGATATGTTGGTGCTTGATCATCTACATCAGAGGTTACACAATAATCTGCCAGACGAGACAACACTTCACAATGGGCAAAAGTTTGATCTCCTTTGCCTCGGCCTATTGGGGGTGCCATCATTAGCCGATCTTTTCAACGATCTTTCCTCAAAATTGCAAGAATTAAAATTCGACCTGTCCGATTATATTTGCATGAAGTTCCTGATGCTGCTTAATCACGGTAAATATTTTTCCTCCACTTTTTTTTTTGTCTGAAAATTAAAAAAGAAAACTATTATTTGTAGTGATGTAATTCAAATAATATTATTGTCACGTGACAAATAATTATTATTTATGACGTGCTCGGTGCTCTGAAGTATTTTAAGGTTTTTTTTGTTTAATTAAAAGAAAAATATTTTAGTGACATTATTAATGAAATTTTTTAAAGTTATGTTTGTGTATTTTTGGTTACTTCATTATTTTTATCATTTTTACCTTAACTAAAAGGAGTAAAAGTTTCTATTTGTGTAAAATTGTAAAAAAATGATGACGATGGTGATAAAAAAAATTGTGTAAAACTAAAATTACTTTATTAACTATTGTAGATTTAGTGAAATTTAATGAAACCTTCGGAGAGCGTTTAGAAAAATTTTGAAAATTCTAATTATTAATTTAAGGGGTGATTCTTTTTGACAATGTAAATATTAATTATCGCTTTGATTTCGCAGATGTTCGTGGATTGGTAAACAAAAAGCATGTACAAGAGGGTCACGAGCAGGTTCAACAGGCATTATTGGATTACACGATGACCTGCTATCCATCCATACCTGTAAGTCACGCAAAATTTACATTTCTCCCTCTCCCCTCGAAATTAATTTTTATCCACTCGATTATCCAACAAGGATCATTATAACTTAATTATTACAGTTTTATCGCTAAACTAATTTATCAAAATTATATTATTATTATTATTCTCTTAGTTTTCAAATTATTTTATTATTTTTCTACTCCTTTTATTATTTTTTACTCTTTATTATATTATTATTATTTTTTAAAATTACAATATTTTTTATATATTTAAATATTTTCTTCTTGTTTAAATGTTTTCTTTTTGTATTTTTAATTTTACAAGAATCTCAAATAAAAATTACTAAAATCTGTTTAGAGAAGAAATTAGAATTTACACGGAAAAAACTGCATGGTTGGGTCAACCATATATATTGAAAAATACGGGATATCCATATTTAAGGTTATCACATCCATTTTTATGGATACCACATCCATTTTGATAGATACCACATCCATTTCTTTAGTTGACACATCCATAGAAATGGGTGTGATAACCTTGAGTATGGATATCCCGTATTTTTCAACATATATGGTTGTCCCAACCATGCAGTTTTTTCCGTGTAGATAATTAGATAAAACTAGATTTTTAGAGTAGGTATTTTTATATTTCTAGAGTAAATAATTCCTTTGTCAAAAAATAATAACAGAAACTAATAATGCAAATAAAGTAGTAAACATTGATAACTATAATTAATAAACTAAAATAAAAAAATTAGATTTCTGGAGAAAATAATTGCTTTGTCGAAAAATATTAATGGAAATTAATAAATACAAACAGAATTAATAACAAAAACAAAAAAATTAGATTTTTAGAGTAAATAATAACTTCGTTAAAAACAATTAATAGAAATCAACAAATACTTAAACAAAATAATAAATATTAATAATAATGAGAGTAGAGATGATTCTATCACTCAGTTGTATTTTAATAAATAGTGAAAATTAACGATCACTCCGAGTCAAGGAAAATAAAAATAAAAGAAATTCAATTCTTTTTACGTTTCGGCAGCACAGCTGTCCTCTTCAGAACGAAAAGAAGAAAATTAGAAAAATTATAAATTAAGATATAAAAAATTATAATTAATTATAGATTCTTGATTATAAAATTAAGATAGGCACATTTTTGTCGCTACGATTACAATATGACACTGAGTCATATGACTTGAGTGTCATATTGTAATCGTAGCGACAAGGATGTGCCTATCTTAATTTATAATTTTAATTTTTCTAATTTTCTTTTTTTCGTTCTGAAGAGGACAGCTGTGCTGCCGAAACGTAAAAAGAATTGCAAATTTCTTTTATTTTTATTTTCCTTGACTCGGAATGATCGTTAATTTTCACTATTTATTAATAATAATGAATAAAATTAAATTAAAGTAAAAAATGATTCTAATTAAATTTGTGATTATTTTTCAGGACAAGTTTAACAAATTGTTAGCAGTATTACCAGAAATTCACGTGGTGGCGAGCAGGGGAGAGGATCATTTGTACCAAAAGCACTGCAATGGAGGCGCACCAACGCAAACACTTCTCATGGAAATGTTACACGCTAAAAGGAAATGAAACAACTTTCACTACCGGCATTATTGTCGGGCAATTGAGGGTTGTTCGAAAACCTTTCCGTTTTATTGCGAAGGTCCCGATGATAAAGCCCCTTACCGACGGACCTCGGTATCTCGGCGATTGGGAGCCGTTTAGGTAATCGTTTCAAAAAGAAAGAAAAAAAAGAAAACAGAAAATTAAGCAAGAAAAAAAACAGTAAAATTTTGCAAAAGAGCAACAAAAAAGCAAAAGAAAGAAAGAAAGAAAGAAAGAAATAATACACAAACAAAAAATCAAGTATAGACATTAATACTTTACAAAGCATACAAGTCTATGTATAAATAATGTGTAAATCTAAAAAAAAATATATTATAAAAAACATAACGACATATATTTTCTATAATTGATGTTGAAGTTTTAGAGATGTATCTGTGGAGAAAAGTAAAAAAAAAAGAAGAAAAACACTAAAATAATAATCGGCTCCCGTGATCGGTGTCGAGGGGGTTGGGGGGTAGGGTACAACGGCGACAAGCGCAGGGAAAAAAATTAGTAAGCGAGATGCCTTGAAAAACAGTACAAAGGGGTGGTTTAAAACAAATTATCGGTCAAAGGGCAGGCAACTTTTGTCATAAATAAGGATATATTAAAAAAAAAACTATTTTTCTAATAACTTAGAGAACGATTTATTTTTAAGTACCATACCACTGAAGCCTTGCTCTCAAATTAAGAATGGAAAAAGAAAAATACAAATACCCAACGATCTATCATTCTTCACAATATTATTAATTATAATAAATACGTATTCCGAACCATTAAACTCTCCCTCGTTCCGCATTTTATCTTTCAAATCATTCAAAAATTGTCAGATTTTAACCACTTACTTTCTATAAAGGCAAACAAAAATATTCAAGTTTGTAAATGTTATTTTTATAAATTGAAAACCATATATTTTTTTATTGTTATTGATCTTAGAAATTTTATTTTTTTTATATTTTTTACTTTCTTTACTATCACAATATTTTGTGGGGGCAAAAAAAATTGAATAATCGCGATAAGAATTAGTAGTTTTATCTAATTTCGGAGGAGGCAGAGTTTATGGATCTCAAAATAGGGCAGGGGAGGGAAGGGAGGGAGGGAAAGAAAAATCCGACTCGCCAGCCACACTTGTGCTTCTGCAAGGGATTCAACGGGCATACTTTTTTGAGCGACAGTAAATAAAAATCGATTGTGATATAAATAAATAAAAAAAAATTACATGTATATATATAAAATATTTATATAAAATATTTTTAATTATATTTTATATAAATATAATAAATATATGTAGCAAAAAGCAAAAAAAAAAAAAAACAATACTATGTATCTGTACGTGTAACGTTTTATCACACGGCCACCTAGGCATCCTTAGAACTTCCTGTCGAATGAAAAAAAAATATATCTGCATTTTTTTTGTCACATTTGCACAGCAACAGGGCTACTACTATTCTGTATTGTAAATACTAGTTAACACATTCCAATTACGTTGTATAGTATACAAAAAAAAGAAGAAAACATCATGTTAAATATGTAATTATTATATGGATATTTCGTGTATAGAGTTTAATGAAATAAATATATTTCTGTTGCTTATTGAAAAAAAAATGAAGATGAAGGAATCATTATAGATACTTAAATGTCTTCACTAATTTTAGGTCTCTTTCATTAAATGTAAAAGAAAAACTGCCTTTTTTTCTCACTTTTCATCACTGTTTTTTATCTTTCTCTCTCTCTCTCCTCTTTCTCTCTATCTCTATCTCTTTCAGTGTCCTATCTCTATTTCTCTCTTTCCCTCTCTTCGAAAATAAAAAAAATATACAAAAAAATAGGTGGCGGAAAATTAATTCTTAAAAATCGCGATATTTTATTATTATTATTACTATTATTATTATTATTATTATTATTATTATTATTATTATTATTATTATTATTATTATATTGTACATTGTACGACAAAATGTTCTTAAGGAGGATAAGAAAAAATAAAATAGAGGAATCATCGGAGCAAGGTTCACGTGGTTCAAACAATTGTCTAGTTGTTAAAAATAAATAATATATTTGCGCGTCTATGTATACGAAGCATCGTATACATAGACGAAGATAAGAATTTTAAATGAAAAAAAAGAAGAATTAAAATTATTGTCTAATCGCGATTGTTAAATATAACGAAGTATTTACGATATATATACATGTTAAGACATAGCTATATCTATCGTAGTTATTTTTCACTTACAGATATAATTAATTAATTAATTAAAATCATAATAATAATAATTATTATTTAGGAGTTAGTCAGACAGTTTTTCAGCGCTGTGAAGGTCGTATTTCGACGCCTGTGGTACCTAAGCCATCGGTTAAAATACACATGCTAGAATTCGGGAGTCAAACTCATGCTTCAAAATAAGAAATAAAAACAAATTTAAAAAAATTGAAAAACAATTTGGATCAAATCCATTTTTTCAAAAAGTTATTGATTTCGTTGAATTCAATTCTTTGCTCGTCGATCAATTATATGGATCGGTAAAAAAAAGAATGATTTTCCCTCTAGAAATTACTTTATCGCATATCAATTTTAAATAATTTAAATTAAAATTCAAAGTTGTTTATATTGTTTTGAATTAATTTAAATAAAAAGTTGAAATTTATTTTTATAATTAAATTTTAAGGGTTTTGTTTGTAATTTGTTTTTTAATAAAATTTCCGGAAAAATTATTTTTACCGTTCCATGTAGAATTTAAAGAAAAAAAAATCGCTGTGCGAATTTCTCCATTAAATAATTAATATTCGTTCCACGCTCGTCTTGAGAAAAGTACCTGAATGTCCTAGTGTTAAAAGAACGCTATTTTACTATTACCACTTTACCAGCACCTTTTGCAATTAAACCATAGAAATAATCTTAATCGATTCTCGATGAACGAAGCATGGAAATAATATAAAGAAAATAAATATATAGATATATTAAATATATCTTCGTATATTATCGACGAGCAAAGACTTGACTATTATATTGACAAATCAAATCTATTACAATAATAAAAAAATAAAAATTGAAAATTAATAAAAAATTATGAATTTGAGGAAAAAAAATCTAATAAAAAAAAACGAGAAAATGGCAAAAAAATGAAAATAGAGAAAAATGAGAAAAACGACAAATTATATGAATAAAAAAAAAATGTTTCGCAGCGTTTTTATGAAATTTTCGGCTTTTTTATAATGATAATTCTCGTCTTGGGAAAAAGAAAGAAATTTTTTTTTATTATTTGACTCCGACGCGAATGACTACCTCTTCGTAACTGTATTAAGTTTTTATACTTTTACAATTAATTAGCAACCACATACCTCAGACGTATAGACACCCAGATAGCAATTCTAATTCGCAAAAAAATAATAAAAGGAAAAAAAATCATTTGGGATGAGACGACGCGCGTTTTCCGATATAGACAATTTTTTTTCTCTCTTTAATAATGTGATTTATTTAAATATCTTGTGATTCTTAAATCTTATTCTTTTGTGATTTGTTAAGTGTTCTTTTTGTCATGTTTCCCCGTAATTAATTAATTTTCACATATACAGTTATTATTATTTTAAGCTAATAATACATTGAATATATTTATATTGCTGTTTGGGTATAAAAAACGGAAATGAAAAGAAAACGTAGAACGCTTTTATTTATACTGTTAATGAGCCTTTGTGTTCATTTCACATCAATCCAACTTTTTTTTAAATTACCTAAAATATTTTCTTTAATTTTAATTTTTAATGTTTGATTTCAATTTTTAATTTTTGATTTTTTTGTTGAATATATTTTGGTTCGAATAGATTAAAATTATTTTGGATTCGATGATTATAAAATTTTTTGCGTATATAGACGATTTAAATAAAAAAAGACCGTAAACTAGCGATTTGAATTTTCTTCTTTTTGGGAAAATATTTTTGCAATAATGTTAATTAAATAAAGAAGAAAATGGAAAGGAAATATTTTTGTCACAGTACACGCGTCCATCCTGTTCAATCGTCCGATGAATTCCGTTATGATACGCATATATACGATATAAATAAATAAATAATTAAATAAATAAGTATATAAATACATATATTTATATAAATATTTATATAAATATATATATATATATATATATTTATATATGCAAATATGTTTATTAACCATAATTGTAATTAGGAAGCTAAAAAGAAAATACTACATGTATAGTATGCTATACATATAAATATATAAATATTATATATAAAAAAGAAAAATTACAATGTTATGTATATTGTGTTAAATATCGATGTACAGTTACCAATTACAATTGGCAAATGCTCTATATAATAAGTTAATTGTCAAATATCATTCTTTCTCTAATTATTATTTGCCAACAAGACTCTCGTCGTTTTTCAAGATTAATCTTACGTTTACAAGCGACACACTTCCTATGCGTTGTTGTTGTTAACACTGCCATTAGAAATTGGCAATTGTAAATTATGTAGAAAAACAAAAACCTCAATGAATGTAAATACATCTTTATTATTAACATACGATTGATCATCGTTGCTTTTCATCGTCAGTGATACTGACTTTTTTTTCAAACGCTTCTCTATTCTTCCCATTCTTTTAGAAATTTACTTCCAATTATTTTTTTATTATTACTGAATATGCTAATATTTTATTTTAAAAATCAAAAAACTATTTTAATTACCGTATTTCATTTTAATTAGTTTTATTTCACCACAAAAAATTATAATTTTACTTTAAATTAGATAATTTGAATTGCACTTTAAATATTATTCTTTTAGTCTGCTCATTATTTTCGTTATACTTTTATTTCGTGTTACGTATTTATTTGTTATTTAATTATTTAAAAAAAATTAATTTAATTCAGTTTAATTCAATTCAGTTTAATTATTTAATTTAGTTTAAAAAAAATTATTTTCGGCAGCTCAAGCAATCTGAGACAAAAATTTCATATTTTAATAATTTATTAAAAATTAATTAATTTCACAATAAGTAGGAAATGAATTCTAATATTTGGTGTAAAAGTTTGCTGCTTTTCTTTAGTGTATAATGAGAGATAAACAAATAGTTTATTGTTTTTGTTAATGTGGATCAGATTTGAGAAATTCATTGTACGAGTTTTCATCCATTAGAGACTGCAATTCCTCAGGATTATCGAGTTCAATTTTAAATAGCCAACCATCCTCGTAACAGGAAGAATTAATCAAGCCAGGCTTATTCTCAACAGCTTCATTTTTCTCGATAACTTTCCCAGAAACAGGACTTATTATTTCTGAGGCTGCTTTTACAGATTCTAGTGCTCCACACTCGTCTATAATATTTAAAATCGCATTATTTGTCACAGCATTTCTTTTATTTTGGAGAAATTACAAATTTATTATATTAATTGTATATTTTTAATTAATTTCTTTGTTTTAATTAATTTTATTTTATTAAAATTTTGTATTCTTAATTCATTTTATATTAAATATTTTTTATATTATTAAAAAAATTTTGTATTAAAATAAATAATTAAATTTATAAAAAATAAAGTTAGATTTCATAATTTTAGTATAATTTTTAATTCATATTTAAAGTCGAATTTTACTTAATTTTAATTAAATAAATTAAAAAGCAATAATACTTTTTACTATTACTTTTATTATTTATTTATTTATTATCAAAACAAAGTTCAAAAGTGTATAATTAAAAATTTTCAAGTTTAATGAAATTCTTTTTTAATTTTTAAGTTTGAAAACTTTTAATTCGAGACCGTGAGAGTTAATTAAATTTGGCGTTGAAAGTACCTTCTTTTTTAATAAAAGAACCAACGTCTGGAAGTTGTGCATAAACAACATCGCCAAGAGAATCCTGAGCATAATTAGATATTCCAACAATACCTATTTTACCATCAAGCTCTACCCATTCATGTTTATTTGTATATTTCCTTTCTGGAAAATAATTCCATTATTAATTTATGCATAATAACTGTTGTAGCTTACAATATACTTGCAGTGCTTTCAAAAACAAAAATACAAAAAGATTTATAAATTGCATTTTTTGTAACAGTTTTTTTTTAAATAAATGAAACGATTTTTTTCGGAAATAATTAATTAAAAAGTGATTTAATATCTCATCTACTGTCATTAGATAAGATTAATATTATAATTCCACCCCGTCTCTTTTAACTTATTTCCTTTCCATTTCTTTTTAATAATTTATTAATTATTAATATAATATATTTAATATATAGTTGATTAATGAAACGAGATGTTTTCAAAATATTATAGGTTATGTTCAATCAATGCATATTTCGATTTTTTCACTTAAAAAAGCGGTAAATTGTAGTAAATGAAAGCATAATAGATAAATATTGACTTTTTTGTGTTTCTTAACGTATAACAATATATAAAAAAGATTGAAAATGATATCATACCTGCCTTTTCAAGAGCCTGTGATGTATGAACATGACGTGAGAAAGAATACGTTTTTTGTGAAACCAATCGACGAATTTCTCCTTTTTGTGTTCCGATTGCTGCTCGAATAGTAAATCTTGCAAACTGTGTCACTAATCCAGCCATTTCTTTGTTAATTCACTATTTAATCCTTTTGTAACTTTTCTTATTCTAAACTGCTTCTTCTTGCACGGTGATGAAATCAAAACTTAACCTCAAAATTGCTCTTCTCAAAGCGACATGCGATCGCGTAATGCCCGTAATGCGCAATGACCCGCGAAGAAAATTCAAACCCCCTTGGTAATCAAAGATTATCATATTTAGTTTTTGACCTATAAACAAAAAATCGTTTTTATCTCGTTTTAATAGTCTCTAATTTTTATGTTTTAATTTCAACACTAAATATGTACTGTCAACTATAACTTCTTTAAATTTGCAATTTTTAACGGTTATTTAAATTTAAACTGATATTCCATTATTTTCAAATTTATAACTTATAATTTAAATTTTAATAAAAGTATTTAATATTTAATTTAATTTGTTAATTTAATCATTAAATTTTGAATTTCAACTCCTCATTCTTGTATAACATCAGATTTGGTGAAAATAATTTAAATTCACGAATATAATTGACAAAATAAGTGGACATGTAAATCATTTTGCAAAACGATAATAGTGAATCCTAGTTGTATTAAAAATAATTAAAAAGATTCCGTAGAAATTGAGAAAATATTTAACAGATAAGAAATAATCGTAATCACGTGAGGTCAAAAGGTCCGAGATACCCGCATAGGCGATAACCCACAATTTCTCTTATCGAAATTTAGTATTCGACCTTAGAATTCAGAACAATTATTCATATAAATATTCAATTGTGGAAAAAGATATAGTTACACTATTATTTATCATTAAAATTTAAATCAATGTCTTTGTTTTCTATTTTTTCAAACAAATTTTAACAAAAACATTCGATTTGTTTTCAAATGAATCTTTTTTATTATGAACTAAAAATAAATACGCTGCAAGTAAAAAAAATAGTAAACAAAATATAGATAAATAATTATTATAAATAAACAAATAAAAATAATTCAAAAATAAGTACATACCTAATTTAATTTTACACTGTTTTCTTTGTCTCGTTGAGAAATTATTTTCACCAGATAACGCGATATTCTCAAGATCTTTTTTAAATTTTCTTCATGCTACGACCTTATGTACGATCCAATGTTTACGAAACATTTATTTACGCACAAATAATTTATACCATAAATTAATAGTATTTGAAAAAAATCACCGATTTTAATCTAAATTTGTCTTTTCTTCGTTTCTTCAAATGGTCCATATTTTGTTTACCAAGAAACTGCGTCCTTTTTCATTTTAATATTTATTTTATTAAAGAACGATAAAAATATTTATTTCACTGTAGCGACACGCGTTAAAATGCAAAATCACATTTGGAAAAGAATTTCTTTTTCATAGAAATCCTTTAGAGAATTTTTATCACACAAATCAGTAGCAAAATATTATCTTCAATGAATACTGTAATTTGTATTTAAATGCAAAGTTTCTGCATACTTTTCTATTTTTTTCCCTTCTCAATTGGAGATGAATAATTATAATCCAATGGTGTAAGATCTTCCATTTGGATTGTGAATTCCAATAGGCACTGGTTTACTGACACTCCATTCGTACCAAACATTTTTCGAACTGCATTGTCTCCAGAAATGTACGCAAATCTCGTCGCCGCCTTTCAAATGAATCGGCTCCTGTTGAATTAAATTAATTTATTTTAATTTTATTTGTTCGAAATACATTAATTTTATAATAACTGGAAAAAATAGTAGTGCTCTATAGATTTACCTTTATTGGGAAAAATATTGGAAACCAACTGATCATTCCAGGACTGTGAGTTTCCGGTTCTATACTTATCATTACATCTTCAAACAGAACACTGTCAAAATATCCCGAAAATCCGTGTAAAATTGTATTTTGTTGAACGCTGAATTTTCTCATCGCGTATCTCGAGTTGTCGACAGTAGAATCTAAAACAAATTTTAATATTAAAAAACGTAATATGTAAATTTTTTAAGCCAGAGTGGTCACAAGTTTTAGTTTATCCATTTTTCTGACATTTCCCTGACAATTTTATAAATTTTTATTTACTATGTTTGAAAATAATTGAATCTTAAAAATATTATAATAAAACAATTCTAAGAATTAGTTTTTAAAAATATTTCAATGTAATTTTTCGCAAATAATTGAATTTCTTAAAAGAATTTTTGGATAATTTAAAAAAACTAATTAATTTTTTGATGAATTTTAATTAAAAATTTTGAACATGATTTTTTTCTCAAAGTATTAAATATAATTCTAAAATGTTATTATTTTTTGTATGTATTTGAATTATTATTGTAATTGAAAATACTGAAAATATTTAATTTTAAAAAATTAGAAGCTAATTTTCATTTTTAAATTTACGTATAAAGATTTTTTATTAAAATTTTTGATAATTCAATTATTTTCAGAATTTGCAATAAAAATTCTTCAAAAGTTGATTTTTTTTTTTTTATTGTAACAAAATACTTAAAAAAATTAATTACTTTCAATTAAATTTTACAAAATTTCAATTAATCCAAGAAAAAATTCCAATAATAAATAATAGAAATAGTAATAAATAAATAATAAAATTGAAAACACAAATTTAAAAAGTAGGCAAACAGTTTGAAATTGTCTTGATTAGATTAATAATTAACTTACCGTTATTAGGATGTTTGAATGTAAAAAGCGGCTGCGTTGGTGCGATATCGTACTTATTTTGAAGATGAACGACATAAGGTGTTTCGAAATGTGTCAAAGGATGTTTGTCCTTGTCTTTACATTGTCTCACTTCGTTAAAGAGTTTCGAAGACTGGACAGGTGCAATGTAAGATGTGTACGATTCAGGTATACTGATTCCAGAAGCTGGAAAATAAAAAAAACCTTGAAAATATTAAACTCTAAGTTTTTGTTTTTAATAAAAGAAACAAGAGTTTTCTCTTATTTCTCTTATTATAGAAAATTAATGTTTCTATTAAAGAAAAATCAGTCAGAAAAGCAGGCGCAATGCGCCTACATCATAGGGTTTCGTGGCCTAAAATGACAAAAAAATAAATAAATAATAATTTATTTAGAAATTTTTTTGTACTTAAGATTGAAATTTTTTTTTATTATCATAGTAACGGTTGTAATGGCAACCATTACTATATCAACGGTTGCAACGGCAACGGTTGTTATGTCAACCATTAACATAGCAACGGTTACCATGGCAACGGTTGTTATGTTGTCTTAAGACTTATAAGACTTAAGACTTAGGACTTAGGACTTAAGACCTTCTTATACCGAAGTTAAGTCTTAAGTCTTAGGACTTAAGACCTTCTTATACTGAAAGTTAAGTCTTAAGTCCTAGTCTTAAGTCTTAGGACTTAAGACTTTCTTAATACCAAAGTCTCGTTATATAAGACTTAAGACTTAAGACGTAAAAACTACGGACGGACACCGAAGTCTCGCTATAAGGGTTTTGGCCCTTGGCCACGAAACCCTAAAAAGAAGAACTCTTATTTCTCTTATTAAGGGAAATTTGAAGGAAATATTTTACGTTTAAGATGCCTTTGAACTCCATCGAGGCACTCGGGTGAAAGTTCATTATCGCCAAAAGATCCCAACAATTCGGAAACTAAAATATCAGCCTTCTCGGGAGCGATCCAATTTCTCATATCACTCGACACCACTGTCACTTTATCCATCCACATTTCCTTCTGTAGCGCCTGTAGACTGCAAAAAATATTTTTCAAATTCAACAAAATATATAAAAAAACAATATAATAAAATATAATTTTGACTTTATCTGTTGTCTTAATTATATATAATTAAAAAATACTTTTATTAACTGTTTTTAATTTACAAAAGAAAAAAGAAATTGAAAAATAACTCACGTTAATACTGCATTTGGATTTTTTTCCACCGCATATACTTTCACTGGAACATGAGCCGAATGAGATGCATTTAAAGCAGCTCGAACCAATGGACCTCTTCCGGCACCAACTACCATGATAATCCTGCAATTATAATTTTTTATTACAATTTGATTACAATTTGATTATTTTATTAATTGTATGATTATGAAAAAAAGATTTGTACTTATTTAATTAAGAAAAGTTATTGGAACTAATCTTCGAAAATTATAATTATACAATATAAATAATAACTAATAAAAATTATAATTATCTCTCAAATATCTCGCAAAGAAATTGTTTCAAGGAAAAAAAAACTTACACAGGAACATTTTTGTTACTTTCGTCATTTGTTGAAGCTTTGGCAAGAAGAGCTTTATAAATAGCGAGCTGATACTGAGAATATTTAACTGGATCTTTCTCAAAAACTTCGTACGTTCCGGATTCAAGATTATCCATTAATGGTTGCAAGGGGCATTGCAAAAAATCTTCATAACCACGAGCGTAACGTTCAATCGGACCGTCAGTCTGCCAACTCTATAATTAATAACAATAACAATAACAATAACAATAACAATAACAATAACAATAAAAAGAGTAATAATCAGGGTTGCAACAAAAATTATCTAAAATTAATAATTGAATTTTATAACAATTTATGAAAATAATTGAATTCATGTTATGAATTTTATTAAATTTTGTTTAAATAATTGAAATTTTGACAAGAAGTTTATTCAGAAGTTCTTGATAATTAATTGAATGTTTCTTAAATTTAAATTCTTTCGTCAAGTTTTAATAAAATTTTTAAGAATAACTGAATTTTTCGAGGAATTTATTTTAAATTGTATTAAAAATATTTAAAATTCTGTCGTGAAAATAATTAAATTCATAAATTAAATTTTATTTTTTATTAAAAAATTGAATGTTTTCGTAGAATTTTATCAAAAATTTTTTTCAATAATTAAATTTTTTGATAAATTTTATGAAAATAGTGAATATTGAAAATTATTGAAATGCGAAAAACTTTTAAAAATAATTGAATTTTTGGCGAAAAATTTTGCTATTTATAAAGACAATTGAATTCTTGACGAAATATTCGTTAAAATTTTTAAAAATAATTGAATTTCTTCGAAGAATTTTATTACTTTTGAAAATAATTATTGAATTCTTGTGATAAATATTGTTATTTATAAAAATAATTAAATTTTGCATAGAATTTTTTTTAAATTCCTAAAAATAATTGAATCTTTGTGAAGAATCTTGTTATTTATCAAGATAATTGCATTAAAACTTTTGAAATAATTAAGTAATATTAAAAAGTTCATTCTGGTAAGAAATAGAAAAAAATTTTGAAGGTTTTGTATTAGAATTCGTGGTAGTTTTATAGTTTATAAGTTCTATTTATAAGGCAAACAAGAAAGACATTAAAAATTCATAATTTTCTTATGAATTTCAAAAATTTAATTTTTTCCAGTACTTTTAATAAAAATCCCTGACTTTTCCTTGATTTCCCTGACTTGTGGCAACCCTGAATAATAAAATGTAATTTGTTTTCAATTGTAATTTGTAATTTTAATATAATATTACTGAAAATATAAAGTACTTACTTTCCAGATGTGATTGAGATAATGATAATAAAGACTGAAATTTTCGTAACGATTAGCACCAGTAATAACAAATTGCATTTCTAATGAACAGAATCTTTTAATAAACATTTGATGAGCTCTTCCTAGAACTGGAAAACCCTTTTTATTTGACATGAATAATGTTGTTGGTAGAATTAAACATTTTATTGGTTCTCCAAGCCATCTGTTTATCTGAAATTAAGTAATAAGTTTGATTTAATTTCAACATAAAGTTTTAATTTTTATTAAATTAAATTGAAATATATTTTTTAAATTTTTACCTCTTCTTCTTCTGGTAAATCGTGACTGACTATCAAAGCAACGCCAAGTTTCCTGTCAAAATCACAAATTACTCTAAAAGCATTCCACCATTCCCAAGTACTCTCGGTTTTAATTTCTGATAAATTCTCTTCGTCCCTATAATAATTGACTTGTTTCAGGGAATTTTCCATTGGAACCTGAAGCCATACCTGAAAGCTCACGGGACTGGCAAGTTTATCGGCAATAATTCTCGCTAAATTAATATTCCTATCTATATTGCCCTTTAATTTCATTGTTATAGCAATAAGTGATAAATGTGAAGCTAAATCAAATTCTTGATTCAATGTCAAAACACTATTTTTAGCGATATTAGGAATCGAGGAATCAACGTCGATGTAGGAGGAAATTTTTCCCACAACTAAGCCACTCCAATCTGAAAATTTTGATTTATTATTATTATTATTATTATTATTATTATTATTATTATTATTATAACGTAATTACTAAACAGTTAAATAAATATTTTTTACTCCAAACGTACCCGAGTTACAAAGAATCATATCAGGTCTTGTAAAAGGATCAGTCCTGTCTTTTGCCGGTCCGGACAGAAATTCTCTTTTATAACGTGGGTGCACCAATGGTACAATAATGTAATCATATCTTTAAAGGATATGAAAAGAGGTGTTAAATTACAAGATAAATGTTTTAATTCATTACTTAAAAGAGATATTATACTTACTTGCAGTCTTTAGCAAAACAAAGACATTGATGTAATTCAGGAACTACACAAAGTTCTAAGCCGCAGGAAATACGCCTCTCACCTGACATTTTCTTTTCTAAATTATCGATTACCTGCGAAATAAACAAACTTTACTATAATTTTATTAATTAATTAAATATACCCTAAATATTATTTGCACACTATCTGCAATTTTATCAATAATTCAATACTATCAAATTTTACTAAATGATATATAATCAAGTTCTTCACCTTTCAAGTCTAGATAAATAAATAAATAATTTTTAATAATTCACTTATAAAATTATAAAACAATAAAGTTTCATTCAAGAAAAGTATAATTGAAAGTTGCTAAAAATTTAGCGTCATTTTTAGGTTAGATACTCACGCAGTGCTCTCCCGCACGTTCCGGTGGATTATTGGGTAAAATTAGATAATTTACGTAATAAAAGGTAAGAATCGTAATAAATTGCGCGGTAATTTTAAATATACTGTTATAAATAAGAATAAACAATTTTTCTTCCTTAAAATGTATTTTTAAAAAATGAGACAGGTTTCGTTTTCGAAAAACATTAAAAATGACGAGTACATTATTCTTAAAATTTAATTTAACAATTAGTGGTTATATATGAAATAATCAAAATTTTACATACAGAGTTAATTTCTTTTATTTCTATTTTATACTATTAATAGAAAAAATATTGTTAATTTAAATGTTTAATATCATAATAATAACTTTTATTTATGTTTTTAATAATAAATCACTTTTCCTTTCAATTTATAATAATATTAAATTACTGTTACTTTGAATGTTTAATATAATATTAAATCACTTTTACTTTAATTATATAATAATAAATATAATATATGTATATAAATAATTGTCGACTAGAGCATTTAGGAAAAAATTTATAAAAATAATCTACTATAAAGAAAAAATTTTGTTAATTCAATTTTGTCTTCAATTATTACTTCAGTAATTATTAATTAATAATTAAAAATTTAGAATTAAAAATTAGTAATTAATAATTAATAAAAAATAAAAATTTGAAAATTTGAAAAATCAGTCTTACAATTTTCAATAAATTAGAATAATTACATATTTTTATGAAATGATTTTTTTGTACTAAATTTCCAGTTTAGTGAGATTTCTTTTTTTCTAAAAAAGTTGATTTGAGAAAAAAATGTCCTTCAGTAATGACAAGAATGATTTCTACCTGACTCTGAATTTAGAATCGTACCTTAAATGCTCATCATCATCATCATGATTTTTACCCAAGGCCTTAATTATTCGAGAGAACGGAAATTGTTCAATTTGCTAAAAAACTCGATCTTGATAACCACCATCGACGACACTTGTACTCGGTTTACTGCCACCGTCTGGTACATGATAATTTGGATGCCTCAAATTACCAGAGCGTCTCGGCGGTGCTAAATATTCGAACATACTTTGAGTGTATTGTGACAACATTTTACTCAAATCACAGGGCATTGGATCGTTCCAAAAAAATTCGTGATCCATTGCTTGATTTGCGTCGATTCTCTTACTTGGATCGAGTATCAATAATTTATCCAACAAGTCACATGCGTAAGCGTCTTTCACGTATGGTTTTAATCTATCCTTCACCTGAAAAAGTAGAATTTTTAAACAATAGAATTTAAAGAACAGGATTTAAAACAATAAAATTACAGTCCCCCATTTTTTTATGGTTTTAATTTTAAAATAAAATTAAAAGGAAATAAATAGAAATAAATAAGATAGAATTTAAAGAGAAATGTAAAACTTGGGAATTTCAAAAAATTGTAAATATAGAAATTACTTTTCTCTTTTGTCCTTTAATCAGATCTATTTTGAAGTAAAGATCTAAACATTCAACGCCAGGCCAGACGTCGGGTGAGAAAGAACCACACAACTGTGAGATGAGAGTAAGTTGTTGTTGTTCAGTATTTCCTTGCATTATCGGTGACCTGAGAATAATAAAAAATTGAATAATCAAGATAAAATAATTAAACAAGAATACAACTAAAATTTTTAATGTAATAGGTATTTACAATTAAAAATAAATTTATACCTTGTCCACATTTCTGCCATTATACAGCCAGCGCCCCATAAATCGACAGGTGGTCCATAATTTCTTTCGCCAAGTAATAATTCTGGCGGTCTGTACCAAAGAGTCACTACTCTGTTTGTATAGCGATTTGGTTGTCCATTTTTATTAGGACTAAAGGCTCGCGCCAAACCAAAATCTGCCAATTTTAAAATCCCTGTCTTTGTTATTAGAACGTTCGCAGCCTTCATGTCACGATGCAAAATCTGAATAGAATTTAAAATTCATCATGGTTTTAAAAAATAAATATGAAAATATAATTAATAATAATAAAGTACATGTTCCGGTAATAATTTGTTCGCAGTTTGAAGTTATTTGTTGTTTGCTTTTTTATAATTTTTCTTTTCAAATATTTTCAGTTTTAAAATTAATATATTGAAAATCATTGAATTGTTGTAAAGAATTTTATCAAAAAATTTGATAATAATTTTTCCTTCAAAGAATTTTATTATTCAGGAAAATAACTGAATTCTCGCAAAGAATTTTATTAAAATTTTAAAAAATCCTAATTAAATTCTTTTGAAGAAATTCTTTGAATTTTTTTAAAACTAATCGAGTTTCTTTAATAATTTTAATTGAAAATTTTGCAATCAATTGAATTTTATAAAAAAGAATTTTATTAAAATTGTATTGAAAATAATTGAATTCTTGCGAAGAATTTTACTATTTATAAAAATAATTTTATTGTGAAGAAATTTACTTTTTATAAAAATAATTGAAATGTTTTGAAGAATTTATTAAAATTTTAAGAATTAATTAAATTGTTATGAAGAATTTTATAGAAATATTTAAAAATAATGAAATTTTTTCGAGAAATTTCATTAAAGTTGTTTCGAAAATAATTGAATTTCTTTAAAGAATTTTATTAAAATTAAGTATGTATATTTAAAATAATTGAATTCATCACAAGAATTATATTATTTTTTGAAAATAATTGAATTCTTTCAATTTTTTTGACGAATATATTTAAAAAATGCATTGAAAGTAGTTTAATTTTTATACTGAGTTTTTTTAAAATATTTTGAAAATAATTGAATTATTTTTAGAGAATTTTAAATTCTTGTCGAAATTGAATTTTATGGAAATTTTTGAAAATAATTAAATTCTTTCGTGTGATTTTATTTAAATTAGATTAAAAATGATTTAATTCCTGCAAAGAATTTTACTATTTATATAAAATTAATTGAATTCTTGCGAAGAATTTTACTACAGTAGAACCCGGTTGATACGATTCTGTAGGGACCGCGCTAAGAATGCGTCTTATGCGGGAAAACGTATTAGGCGGGATCGTATTAACCGGGTTATACTGTATTTATAAAAATAATTGAATTTTATCGAAGGATTTATTAAAATTTGAGAAAAAAATTGAATTTTTTTCGAGATGCGTAAAAAAATTTTTTAACCCTTAAATCGCACCCTGGGTGTGCGACACCCATATTCTAGCTTTTTACTCTAATATCTCGTTTAAATTCGTAAAAGTTGAACATTTCTCTCTATTGGACAGTACATTTTGTACTTAACTTTATGTTTCGTGAGTGATATTAGTCTGTCAAGTGTCTTTGTGTATTTGATAACTTTATGAAGTTGACGGCGAAAAATTTCTGCTTGTCTGACACCCAGTTTTTGGTTTAAGGTAATTTCAGTAGTTTTAAAAAACTCTTTTTTAATTATTGAAATTAAATAAATCATTATGAAACCTATTTTCCTTTAAAATAGATGTACTGAGCTACATAAGATAATTTTTCTAAAAGATAAAATTCTATTCCAGCTTGGAGAACACACTTTAAAGTCCCCGGGTGTCGCACACCCAGTGTGCGGTTTGAGGATGGATTCGTAAGTGTGCGCTTTAAGGGTTAAAAATTGAATTCTTCCGAGGAATTCAATTAAAATTGTTTTGAAAATAATTGAATTTTTGTAAAGATTTTACTATTCAGTGGCGGATCCAGGGGGGGGGTCATGACCCCCCCCCCCTGGGGCGAAAAATTTACATAAAAAAAAAAGGTCAGCTAATTATGGTCGTTGCTCGCCGAATCTATAAATGACCCCCCCCTGGAGTAAATTCTGGATCCGCCACTGTTACTATTTAAAAAAATAATTGAATTGTTTAAAAGGATTTATTAAAATTTTAGAAAATAATTGAATTCTTAGCTAGTTATATTATATTCTAAAATTATTTCAATTGATAGAAAATTATTTTAATGGTTTAAAAATTTTTTTAACTGTTAGAAAATAAGTTCAATTGTTAAAAAATTATTTCAATCGTTAAAAAATTATTTCAATTGTTAGAAAATTATTTACATTATTAAAAAAATAATACCTTATTGCTGTGAATGTAATGAAGTCCATTAAGCAATTGCACCATTACTTGTTTAATTTCTCCTAAACTAAATTTCACGTTTACATTTGAGAGTAATCCGGCGAGATCGTGCTCGCAAAAATCAAAAATTAAATAAAATGTCGAACGATATCGATTGCCGGGAGTGCCTGAAAAATATTTTTTTAAATAAAATGCATTTAAAACATAAACCAAAATTGTTATACAAAAAAAATTAATTTACCTTTCGTTCGACAAATTTCAATCAGATTAACAATATTATTATGATTGAGAACTTGTAAAATTTTTATTTCCCTCAGGGCAGTTATTGGGAACTAAAAAGAATTAACATAATTAACAACTAACACAATTAACAATTAATACAATTAACAGAATTAATAATTGAGGCTCCGGATCTTAAAAGGGCACTTTCACCATGTAAAGTCTATGCGGAAAGTGCCCTTTTAAGATCCGGAGTCTCAATTAACATTTTTTAATGGATTTTGAAAATTTTTAAATTAAATTAAATAACTAAGAAATTATTTATTTTTGCAATTTAATTAATATTAACTAAACATGAATTTAATTATTATGTTACTTTCGACATGTCACTCACCCCCTCCTTTTCATTGTCCATCAAAACTTTCTTCATAGCAACAAATTTTTTACTCGTTTTCTTATCCCTGGCTTTAAAAACTTCTCTGGAAATTTTTATATAACGATAATGAATAATAGAATTCTTTATTTTGAATATTTGTATGAAAATAAATAATAAAACACAAACTTACCCAAACGTTCCTTGACCAATTTTTGCAACTTTCTCATATTTACTGGATTCATCACAAAAAGGAAAATTGAATTCTTCAATGTATTTTTCCCTTTCTTTAATATTCATTGCGATATTTATAAAAGTTTATTAAATCCTTAAATCAATTTTTATAAGTTTCGAATCTCGAATGGCATTTTTGTTGTAAATGTTATGATGGCGTTCAATATTGACAGACAAAAAGATACACTTTAATGCTTTTCTGTTATTAGTTGCAAACGTTGCAAATAAATAAAATTTATACTTCAGATGTCAAAAGACGCTTTTAGTCCTTTTGTTTTTAATGTTTTTCAATCCGTTTGGCTAGTTGAAATAAATATTAAACACAAAAATCTGGAGATGGAAAACGAAAGTTTGACAATTGACATAGAATGTTTAATATATTTATAGGTTAGGTGCACAAAGTAAATAAATAATGGATCCTAAAGGCGAGATCACAGTTAGTTTGAAAATGTCCCATTTATAACTTAGCTTTAATACTTATTTGCAAAATTTGCTTCTTAAGGAAGTAAACAGAAAGTTTAATTATAATCTCCTCTGTAATTTCAAAAAATATCAGCTGAATATTTTTTTGTCATTTTAGAGTAGGAGAGAATTGCAAAATACGAAACTACAATTTCCTGTATTGGTTCAAGGGGTTGCAACCAATAGGACCTTTAGACCGGAAGTTCCGTCAACGCCATGACATAAGTCGCGCAAATACAAACTTCTACGGTTTTCTCTGTAAAAGTTTATTGTGCTAACCGTGAATTAAAAATAAAATAACTCAAAAGAAAAGTGTTTCAAAAACAAAAGTGAAGTTTAAAGCAGTGAAACGGAAAACTTTTAATCATTTGAAAAAGTGATTGCGATGCTGGAGTCAATGATCAAAGGTGAAAAATGTCTTTTAAAGTGTATTAGGTGTATTGTGATAAAAGTGAATTAAAAAGTAAAAACAACGTCGTTATTTTTATTAACATTTTACCCCCTGGAATGCTTTAATTGATAATTTTAGTGCAATTATTTTTTGAAGAATAGGATCATTTTAATTTGATCATTAACTATAATTTCGATTTATATATATATATTTATTTTCGAGCACCTAAGTGAATATAAAATTGTCATATACCTGTATAATAATTGCTATATCACTGTTATGTTACTTTTGCTATAGAATATATAAACTAAACTCTAATTACATAAGTAAAATGGTAAATGTAGGCTTGTGTGTATACAATAATATATGGCACGTCAGTCTGTTAAAAATTTTAGTTAAACCAATTAATCATAATTATTTTTATCATTAAATACTACGCATAGTTTAACTTGTCGATATTGATTTAACTATTTTGTCGCGTTTTGGCATTGTCGATGGTTTTTCTGGTTTTTAGCACTACCGTATCATTTCCATATATTTCTGTTTGTGTTTAGTCAACATTTCCGTTACAGTTACCAACTGTTTGATTGTGGGCTGTAAAAATTAAAGAGAAAATTTTAATTTTAATTTAAAAAGTCAAATTTTAATATAAAATTTAAAAAGAAAATTTTAATATAAAATTTTGATAAACATACCTGAGTTTTTGACAAAGCTTGCAGTTCTTTTAAATGTGACACGCAAATATGATGCAAAGTTGCTAAATCTCTTGCTGTGTCGGAACCGCATTTTCCTCTTGGATCTGTACTCTCCGAATCTGGTTTCTCCGTAATATTCTGTAACAGTTTTTCAAACAATTTTAATTTTACTTTTCTTTGAATTAATTTTTTAACGACTAAAACTTTTAACTTAAAAACATAAAAAATTAATTCTTTAAATTCTATTTTTATCACTTAATTAAAGAATTAAAAATAACACTTACGGACAATTGATCCAAAAATACAACCATTCTTTCTTTGTTTTTGAGAATAAATGGATTGACCACTTCCATGTAGGGCTCTTTACCACCAAATTCCACAAGATTTGCCAAATTTTGTAGACATTTTGCAACCATCACTAAAGATCTGTTTAAGAGAAATTTAATTAATTAATTTTCTTTTTTTAGTTTGCAAATTTTTATATTAAAAGCAAACTAATACTGAATTCCATGTCCCTAAATTAAAAAAATATTGTTTTTTCTAATTAAAAAAATATTGATTACTAAATAAATAATTTAAATACAATATTTTTCAATTCAGTTCATTAATTTTTTTAAATATTGGAACACAAAAACATATTATTTCGTTCAAATCTTTAGAGAAATCTGAATTTGAATATATTTTGTTTTGTTCTTTTTAATTACCGTGCAGCAGCTGGTGGCGGTGGTTCGGCAATGAGATTAAAAGATCTAGGATTTAAAATTGCTGGGCACAATAGACGTAAAAATATAAAACCACTGACGACTCTCGTTCTCACCAATCTTTCGTGAGGCCATTTTGAAACCACTGCTCTTTGTAGACATCCGCAAATGTACCTCAATGTCTTGGGACATGCATCGGGACTTGTAAAAATGCTCAAAGTTACCTCATCCAAAACCTAAATTGTTTAGAAACAAAGAAAAGGGAAAACATTTTCAAATTAGATAATCTCGTTTCAATTTTGCAAACATTAATTTAATTTAACTTTATTTAACTCAATTTAACTAAATTTAACTTTTCATAACTAAATTTATATTTTTGAGAAAAAAAAAGAAAAGGATGTTCGACTTACTTGTAGTAAAAATTCGGCATTATTGCAAGCGTCTTCTGGCGAATCCATTTTTGTCGGATTTAACTCACAGCTTTGTTTACTTTCGATTAATTTCACTATTGTGTCACGTAGAGCAGCTTTTAAGAATGACGTGCACACTGATTTCATATAAAGATCCATCAATGTAGTCGTAAGGCTTGCAGCTCTGAATAATGTTGGTGTTTCGTCTTCTTTGTCAACCTGAAACAAATTGAGAATGTAAAATATTATGTTTCCGAAAAATCGTTTTTATTTTCACTATTTTCCATTTAGTAAATTTTGAAAAATTAGTTTAATGAATAAAAAATTTCATTCATTTAAACGTTCAATTTCATTTCATTTTCATTTTTTTAAGGAAATAAAAAATAATAGAAATAATAAAAGTTATAGCAATAATAAATTAATTAGTATATTTATAATAATAATATAGTAATTAATAATCGAATTAAAATTATTATAAAAAATATTACTTACTTCTGCTTGATTCAAAGACCTGAGAAGATCGGCTTCTTTTCTGTCATGCCTGCAAAATATTTTATTTATTTATTTTCTATACTGTATGAAATTTATCATCCTTTTTTTTAAAAAAAGGAAATTTATTATTTATTTAATTTAATTAAATAAACATTAAAGTAAAATAATAACAGTAATAATAGTTACCTAAATATTCTGAGAAGACTATTTGCCAATGGTACGCGATCCAAGTGACAAACATCGGCTAACGCTCTGACAACGTGTAGTTCTGGATCCAATAACAATTGTTGTAAAGGACTGTATTCCTCCGGTGGCATCGACAAATCGTGTCTGTATCTGAAAAGAAAAATCGTACATTAGACATTCTTCGTATTTTTATTATTTTTTTTTAATTTTGACTAAACTAAGTAACTAAATTTTGATTAAATTATTAAAGGAATAATTTAAACTATTAATTAAATTATTAAGGGACTAGAAAATGTTACGCGCGGAATGTGGTATTCAATTTATTATTATTATGCAAATTACAACATTTTTTATTTTCAAATGTAAAATTTTCAATAATTTCATAATCAAAATTTAAAAAATTCACTTATTAAGAACAAAATTAATTATTATTGTTTATATTTTCAAAACAATTTTAATTCAATTCCTCGGGTGAATTCAAATATTTTAAAATATTTCCACAAATTTCAATTATTTCATCAAATTTTAATAAATTCTTCGAAACAATTCAGCTATTTTTATAAATACTAAAATTCTTTGCGTGGATTAAATTACTTTTAATTCAGTTTAAATAAAATTACATGAAAGAATTTAATTATTTTTAAAAATTTCCATAATTTTGAATATACTTAATTTTAATAAAATTCTTTACAGAAATCCAATTATTTTCGAAACAACTTTAATTGAATTTCCCGAATTGAATTCCTCGAATTTTAATAAATTTTAATAAATTCCTCGGAACAATTCATTTTATAAACAGTAAAATTCTTCGCAAGAATTAAATTATTTTTGTGCATAAATAATAAAATTCTCCTCAGGAATTCAATTATTTTTAATACAATTTTAATAAAATTCTTCTTCATAAAATTCAATTGCTTTCAAAATTTTCAATTAAAATTATTAAAGAAACTCCACTATTTTAAAAACATTCAAAGAAATTTTTCAAAAGAATTTAATTTTAATTTTTTGACAAGATTCTTTGCAATAATTCAATGATTTTCAATACATTAATTTTAAAATTAAAAATATTTAAAAAGAAAAATTTTAAGAAAGTTAGGAAACAAAAAAGCAATCAACAACTAACTTCAAACTGCGAACAGATTACCGGATTACAACGATTATTAATATTGATTAATTAAAGGAGGAATTAAATTACCTTAAACGTAAACGTAATGCCCCCCATTCGCCAAGTGGTGTAACGCCAGATAATGGATACCACTCATCCATTTCTTCTCCATTAGTCAGACTTGATAGATCGACTGTCAATTCAGCCACTTCCGTGTCTTTACTGCGCTTTCCTTTGTTGTATAATGTTAGAGAAAATGACATCACATCCGGTGGTACATCTCTGTAAAATAATTTATTTCTCACTCTTTTTGAAGTTTTAGAAACATTTAAATTCGGAGCAATTTGCTCTGGAATTATTTGAAAACAATTTCGAGGGCAAATTGCTAGAATTTTCAGAATATTTTTTTCTTAATAAAAAATAAAAATTACGCAAAAAAAAAAAATAATAAAACAATTTCGACAGGAAGTTGTTAAAATTTTCAAAATAATATTTTTTCCAGTAATATAAAATAAAAATTACGTAAAAAATAAGAAGAAGAAGAAGAAGAATAAAATAAATAATAAAAATTACAATTACGCACTCGAGAATAAATTCCTCGTCCCAAAGTGGATGCAACCCAGTCTTAACTTTTGTGCGTGCGACTTTAACATTATTTAAAGCTACAATTATAAATGGATTCGGCACCAATTTATATGGAAGTCGATGTGCGTCGAGAATATGCAAATGCAATGAGCGTAATTCACGTAAGCGAGCGACTTTTGGCGCTCGCGTTAATTGTGAAACACAAAGTGGTTTTAGAGCATTAATCCAATCTGATGCATTTTCAGAATTTGGTGCCGCCAAATATGTTATCGTTGCTAAACAGGGAAGAGCTCGCTCAACCAATTGAAAGCAGTGAGGTCTGTCGAAAACACTTTCATGTACCTGAAATCAAAATTTTTCAACTGTTT